CTGCCAGTTACTTGAGAACACGTTTCACACCTGCAGGGTTGCCGAGACCAGGTGAAGGAGGTTCTCTCCCGCCTGCCTGCTGTTTCCCAGAAATTTGCGAAATATTGGATCTGTCAAGTCCGCCTCATGGAGCAAGAAGGAAACTTCGATGTCCTACCCATGTTCGAAGAGGCTGTTCGTATTGTGTTGGAGGTAAGGCAACAGTGATATTCAGACTCTCAAGGTCTTTTATGTATTAAAAAAGCATCTTCCTCTTCCATCTGTAGTCTTGTGCACACCTACATAAACAAAACAGGGCTCACTCAGAGAAAACGAAATTTTATAATATAACAGAGGCCAAAAATAGCATAGCAAATCTTAACTTAAATGACTCTGTTGTTGATGCATCAGTGTGGGGTTTTCAGCATTTTTGGGGGGTGGGTGGGGAGGGGGGTTATGTCATGCATCCTGTTTGTCTTTAGTGCAGTATTCCAGATAACTCAGAGGCCAGAATTAAGTGAGTTCCAGTATCACTGTTCGGGAAAAAAAACAAACAGGTTTTTGTTCGGCTTCTTAGCTAGGTAGAGCAGTTCAAAACCAACACTGCTGCAGCATGTTCATGGATAGAGGCTGATCAGTGGTCTGCGTAGCTTATTTAGCGAGTCACAAATACACATTCCAACTAGTAGCTTGGAAATTCTGACTGCATTTGGAAAACTGTCTTTCTCTTTAATCAAGTTTTCCTTTTATAGAAACGTTTGTATATGTTAGTCACTTTTCATTTTTAATTGGTCTAGCATGAAATTGTGCCATATAAACAAATTTGAACTTGATACGCGTATAGTTAACTTTAGCTCAGAGCAGGATGTGAAGAGTTTGTCAACTCTGGGGAAAGCTTTCCAGTAATGTATAATAATCCTGTTTTCCTGTAATTGTATTTTGTTGTAGCCAGTGGATGAGCTGCGGATCGTGGTGTTTGACATTCTGAAGAAAAAGGACGAGATCCAAGGTAACTCACCTTCATGACCTTGGTGGGGGCAGCGGCAGCGTTAAGATTTTCAATAGATAACTTTAGTTCTTAGATAAGGGGTGTCAAACTCATTTAATTCATGGGGAACATACAGCCTAATATGAAATTAAAACCGTTGCATAATAATATACGTTTCCTTCCTTTTAACCAAAAATACGACCATGAATGTTATTTAAAACATGCACATTTAATAAGATGCACATTTTTAGAGTATATGATTACCAGTCTGAGGTACTGGTATGGTATCCAAAGCCTGGGTATTGTCTTTGTCATTGGAAGTGTAAATGTGCAGCTACTAAATGCACACATTTTCTACATCAAATCAAGTCCTGTTAATTCTTGCAGGATATTTTCCCCAATTAAATTTAGTAAAACCCACATTTTCATGTTGTTTTCAGCTAAAGAACAGGACAAAGAGGTCGAACATATTCCAACACCTGAAAACACTCCAGATTGTGGCAGCAATCCACTGATGACCCCCAAACCTGTCAGAGCGCTCATTTATGGGGAGAGAGGAGAGTCGTCTGTGGTCAAGTACAAGATCACAGCAACCCCTGGGTGTGTTCGAGTCATCGTGTCACTTTCTCCATGTTACTGTTCTCTGATGTATTTGTTTGGTCGCTCAA